AATCCAAAGTAATGAGCAGAAATAATGTAGTTTTTCATCCTGAAAAGCGAACATGCCCTTGAAGTTCAGGCTATCAAACAGGATTTAGGAGACACAGATTTAATTCCTACTTATCACCTAGACTCCCTGCAGCAGCATATACCTTATCTCCAGCCTTACCTTGAGTAGTATGATTACTAAATTGAGGTTCATCATCTGAAGTAGAACTGAGGGTTAATCCCAAGTCTTCTATCCTCTTCTTCTGCTTCTTTTGAGGGCTGCTAAATTCAGGTTCTGTCCTTCTCTTCATTTTTGCTGAAAAAAAGATGATCACATTTGGTAAACAATAAGCAAAATAACTTTCTCCTGCATGCTGAAGGAAAAGGTGCAGCAGCCTGGCAGCACTGACCACGTTACAGACTATTCAGTATTTATGCTTCACAGCTCAAGCTTGCTGTAGGCAAAAGCACTGCCTTATTTTGAATGTACCTTTTTCAATAGCTAACTAAACAAACTAATAACTGAACAAACATAAAACCCATGCAGCAGTTTTCCTATTAACGATGACTTGAATTTAGCATAATTTCTACAACTTACTTACCATTGAATGCTAGCAGATAGAGACAATAAAACATCAGCACTTAGATAACTTAAATATATGACAGGTGGTTACTACTATTGATTCAAAGATTCATTTTATCCAAACACACCTTGTGCAAGGTGAAACCAATTTGTCACAAGAGACTCTAAACACCTCTGACCTCACCTCTGCAAACGTTAATTAAAAAAAGGCACTTTCCTACACAACTTCTGTGGCAGAACTTTATTAAATATATGTGCTCAAGTTGGATGGCATTTGTGTTTTTCATGAGGAATCACTGGCAAGGGATCAAGCCTCTGGATGTGGCTGCTAAACTTTGCACAAAACCAGAGAAAGGACTAACACTCAGGACAGAGTTAACAGAAGCAAGCTGGGAAGGCCCACAGAGGCCGAGAACTCAGGAAAGCAGGTGAAAATTAAAAAGCACAGGTGCTTAGAGAACTGGCTAAACCTTCCTGCTATTGCTAAAAAGAAATAAAAACCTATTGGGGCTTATTATTCTCCACAGGAACGCTGGCCTAGAAAAGATGCCCCAGGTCACCAATACGAACCCTCTGTTATCCAATTTTCTTCCACAGGCACACACAGGGCGCCTCGAGGCCAATTCCCTTAACCACCCCCACCAACCCGGCTGCAGATTCACCCTGCCTGTGCTACTGCTGAGGCACCTCTTCCCTTCCACCAGAAGGCCACTGGCAGCCAACCCACATCTACCTGCCCTCGTGCTGCCGGTGCGAGGTCCGGCTTTCCCTCTGGCTTGCTTGTCTCCAGCAGCCCCGAGCGACGCCGTTTCCCCCCGGACACGCTCCCAGGGCAGCACCT